GCCCCCTCTCCTATAAAAAAATCTTCTATAGGCTTATAGTCAAAAAAGAAAATCACTAAATTTATCGCGCCACCTACAAGACAGAACAACGTCTCTCTGACTAGTTTATATTAGATTATATTAGAGTATTACATTTAAATACTTTTAATTACAGCACTAAACACACAAATTAATTAAATTTTAACTAGGCACAAGTCCGACAACTGTGGATAACCGTGTAGATTACATAATTAACTAATTGTAATTTAAGGCTCAGCTATTATTAAAATATTATGTAACTGTTTGTTGTTCCAAATTAATTCAATTATAATAATACTATTAAAATTAAATGATATTGTTCCTATAAAAATTAAAAAAAAATTAAAAATACTCTAAACTACGAAACCCTAACGGGTGTAAAATTCAGGAGCGTCTCATATTTTAGAAGTCCTTGGAAGTCTCATCTACCAAAATCGAAGAAATTCCAAAATATGAAACGATCAAAGGAAGATTCTTGAAGAGATCAGCTCGAACAAATTTTTCCCACCAAGAAAAAGTAATCAGTAATGCTAATAGAAAGCTAAAATGTTATTATGTCACAGGGCTGTTTTTAGTCTAAGAGGCCGTCTGAGTAGGTACCATCTTCTTACACATTCCTACCGGCGAATAGCATTGCTTGCACTATTGTGTGCGTATAGAGCGTCAGTATATCTTAGCTCTCAGAGGTTAACGCATCTGTAACCATCTTTATATGAAGATGGTTGCAGCATTCTATGGACTGAAGTAACACTTACCATCAGGTGGACCGTAAGTACCTATATCAGTTTATAAAGAGAAGTTCGATTTACGAATTTCAATTATCTATAAATTGCTACCAATATTAATAAGGACAAAACATATCTTAAACATCATTTTACCAAATTAAAGAAAAAGGTTATATCACATATTAATTTATAAAATCGGCAAAACAAATCTAAACATTTAAAATTATTTATTTAAAATGTTTTATCGCGTTTTTAAAAGAGTACAATGTGTTTAGGAACTGAAGAATACCTTTAAAGTATTGAACTAAAATGTATTTATTTCTAAAAGCAGCAATACAAATTTTAACTTTTTAAATGAATGATATGGCGACGAACATTAAATATTAATTAAGGTAGAACCGCAACATCGTTACTGGATATCGGTTTTTACACTCCGTTAAACTTAAACGACTTTATGAAATAAGAGGACAAACGGAGAAAGGAACGTTCTTAGCTGCCGTTAATTATTGTCCCGCTTATAAATTATCAAAAGTTAAGCATTATTAAATTCCCTTAACCTCAAATTCTATGATACTTTTCCATTAATCTGTTGAGTAAAATAACTAAACTTATAATAAAAAGTATAAACCGACTTTAAAAACTAAATAAAAATTTACTTTCACATGCTTAGCACATGCACAATACTTATGAAGTCGGTTCTAGCTTATGAAGTCGATGCCAAAACATAGTAGATCGAATAATTGCGAGTAAAGCTCAGGCTAAATAAAAATAACTTCCACATGCTTAGCACATACACATTACTTATGAAGTCGGTTCTAGCTTATGAAGTCGATGCCAAAACATAGTAGATCGAATAATTGCGAGTAAAGCTCAGGCTAAATAAAAATAACTTCCACATGCTTAGCACATACACAATACTTATGAAGTCGGTTCTAGCTTATGCAGTAGATGCCAAAACATAGTATATCGAATAATTGCGAGTAAAGTTCAGGCTAAATAAAAATAACTTCCACATGCTTAGCACATACACAATACTTATGAAGTCGGTTCAAGCTTATGAAGTCGATGCCAAAACATAGTAGATCGAATAATTGCGAGTAAAGCTTAGGCTAAATAAAAATAACTTCCACATGCTTAGCACATACACAATACTTATGAAGTCGGTTCAAGCTTATGAAGTCGATGCCAAAACATAGTAGATCGTATAATTGCGAGTAAAGCTCAGGCTAAATAAAAATAACTTCCACATGCTTAGCACATACACAATACTTATGAAGTCGGTTCTAGCTTATGAAGTCAATGCCAAAACATAGTAGATCGTATAATTGCGAGTAAAGCTCAGGCTAAATAAAAATAACTTCCACATTCTTCGCATATACACAATACAATAGCTTCTGAAGTCGGTACTAAAACATAGTGGATCAGATAATTGCTAGTAAAAGCCTAACTAAATAAATTTAACTTCCACATACTTAGCACATACACAATATAATAGCTACTGAAGTTAGTGCTAAGACATAGTGGATCGAAGAATTGGGAATAAACCTCGATTTCAAAAGATATTATTTTTTTACTGTTTGAAATCGGTGTTTACATTCAATTAAAGGTTTAATCATTTTTAATTTCAATTTATGTGAGACCACCCCCAAAATATAAACTTTTTAATAATAAACCATACTAATATTTTAACTAATTTAAATAACTAATAATCAAGGTGTGATGTATGTCGGTAGATCGTACAATATAAGTATGTACATATATATATTTTTCTATGTAGGTAGGCAGTTGCATCTGCCACGTTAGATTGCGATAAACGCCGATACGCAAGGACGTGTTTTATTTTTCAGTGGCGACGAGTTAATTCGAATCCAGTTCACTGAAGCGCATACATGATGTCGATCGGCCGAATAACCGAATTCAATGTTAATTCCGACAATTGGAAATTGTACGTAGAACGCCTCGAACAATACTTCTTAGTAAACGAAATTAAACCGGAAAGGCAAGTACCAACACTTATTACTGTGATGGGAGCCGAGTGTTACGAACTTTTGGTTAACCTTTCTACACCGGAGAAACCGTCGAATAAATCGTTCAAGCAATTAACAGAAATTCTCGAAAGATATTTACAGCCCAAACCCAGTATACTTTCGGAGAGATACAAATTCCGCCATCGGAAGCAAAATGGCAACGAGTCAATCTCGGAATACGTAGCCATTTTGAAAAAAATGTCAAAGACCTGTGAATTCGGTAACTGGCTAGAGGAAAGTTTGCGGGACCAACTGGTATGCGGCGTCAGCAGTGAGTCCATACGGCAACGGCTGTTCACGGAAGATAAAATCGATTTTGGAAAAGCATACGCCCTGGAGGTCAGTATGGAAATGGCGGAAAAAGACGCAGCGGCAGTGGAAGGTCGAGCGGACACGTCGGGCGGTCACATCGTAGCGTGCCAGGCGGTGGCGGGCACGTGGCGCGACTATAGTGGTGGTGGCGGTGGCAGCGGCACTGGCCGCGCCCGGCACGCATTGGCGGTGGCGGCGCCGAGCCGTGGGCGCAGCGCGCACCGCGGGCAGCGAGCCGCCATGCAAAGACCGCGCCCCATCACCCAGCAGCAGCAGTTTAGTGCATGCGGTGGTAATCACGACAGTTTGCGATGCCAATTTGTGCAATATGTGTGTCGAGTGTGCAACAAACAGGGGCATTTACGTCGGGTCTGTCCTTATTTGACGGATCACCATACCATCGAGGTGATAAACTCCGCTATAACTTCTCCGCTATAACTTCGCTATTGGGTAGGCAATGTTTAATAGAGCTCAGTGTACAACTTCCCAAATTTAATTGTGTGAATAATGTAAACGAAGAATTCAATTTGGACGCTTTCAGTTCCAGATACTGTGAAGTATTTGCGGACGGTCTGGCGCGATTCACAGGCGGCACAGTGAGTATCCACGTGCGGGAGGGCGCGCGGCCGGTGATCATGCGCGCGCGGCCCGTAGCGTACGCGCTGCGGGCGCCCGTGGAGCGCGCGCTGCACGACATGGTGCGCGATGGCATCCTGACTCCCGTGAACCGCTCCGACTGGCCCACACCTATTGTTCCCTTGGTAAAGAAGGATGGTAACATCAGAATTTGCGCTGATGAATTGAATTGAATGAATTGCAAGTTAACCTTAAATAAAGTCATTGAAGTCGATCGTTATCCTTTACCAAATGTAGAGGACGTGTTAGCTCGCCTACATGGGGGAGAAAAATTTAGTAAAATCGATTTGTCACAGGCGTACGCTCGAACTATTATTTGCTGATATACCTTATGTAGGTGTTTTTCTCGACGACATAGTCGTAACGTGAAAAGGGGCCCAGGGTCATATAAATAATTTGCATAAGGTGTTTGAGCGACTAAAGTCACACGGTCTATGTGTAAAAAAAGAAAAATGTGCTTTCTTCGATGATAGCGTAACATACCTTGGCCACGTTATTGATAAAAAAGGAATTAGAACCTGTGAGGATAAGATAAAAGCGATTCTTAAGACCCTTGCCCCCACAAACGTTTCGGAGTTGCGTGCCTTCATAGGCATGGTCATGTATTATTCCAAATTTATGAAAAACGTAAGTACAATATTAGCACCTCTGTATAATTTATTACGGGCTAACGTTAAATTTGTGTGGAGTAAGGAGTGTGAGATAGCATTCACTAGTATAAAACAGAGACTAGGTTCGAGTGAGGTGTTAGTGCATTACTCGCTGGAGCTGCCGCTGATTTTGACGCCGGACGCGAGCGGCGTGGGGATAGGTGCAGTCCTCTCGCACGTGACGCCGGACGGCGAGCGGCCCGTGGCATATGCTTCACGGTCGCTTACCAGCGCCGAACGAGCCTACGCTCAAATAGATAGGGAGGCTTTAGCTACAGTATACGGCATTAGGAAATTTCATCAATATTTATATGGCCGCAAATTCACTCTCAGAACTGACCATAAATCTTTACCATACATATTTGGTAGCAAAGTAGGTATTCCCTTAATGGCCGCGTCGAGAGTGCAAGGGTGGGCTATTTTGTTATCGGGCTATAGTTATGAAATTGAATATGTCGCGTCGGAGAAAAATTGTGCGGATGCGTTATCACGACTACCTCAAACCGGTTCCGGGCGTTCTGGTACCGAAGAAATTACCTATTTAAAGTTTGTCGAGCAGTTTTTACCTATAACTCACGATAACATCAGAGTTGCTACATCTTAGGATGCCCTTTTGTGTCAACTTATGTTACATGTTCAATCCGGCTGGCAAAATAAATGCAAAAGATGAACAGATTAAACATTTTTACAATAAACGTTTTGAACTGTACATTGATCGCGGTTGCCTTATGTGGGGCTATAGATTAGTCATACCTCAAGGTTTAAGCGTTAAGGTATTATCACAATTACATATAAGTCACATTGGTATAGTTAAAATGAAGTCCATGGCTTGCAGCTACGTTTGGTGGCCCAATATTGACGCAGATTTAGAAGCAATCTGTAAACAGTACGAAACCTGCGCGGCCGAGGCGCAGGCGCCGCCGCACGCCTCTCCGCAGTCCTGGCCATATCACACTCAGCCTTGGAGTATGGTTCACGTTGATTTTCTTGGACCACTGTTTGGGAGAACTTACCTAGTAGTCATAGACGCGAGTTCAAAGTGGCTTGAAGTTTTTAAGATGCATAAAACGAATGCAACGGCTGTAATAAAAGTTCTTCGAGCAACGTTCGCACGGTTTGGACTACCAGTGGAGATCGTATCGGATCAAGGTCCCCCGTTCAAAAGCAATGAGTTTCAGACATTTTTAAATAATAATGGCATTCGACAATCTTTTTCACCCGCCTATCACCCGTCATCGAACGGAGCGGCCGAAAACGCGGTCAAACTTTGCAAACGGGCACTTAAGAAAGCAAATAGGGAATCGGTCGACATAGATGCCGCTATGCAAACATTTTACTGAGCTATAGGAATAGTGTGCATAGTAGCACTGGCGACACACCTGCGATGCTACTGCAGAGGCGGTCATTGCGTTCGAGATTAGACCTACTGCGTAGCGACAGTGCACGCGAGCAGTGCGTGCGGCGCGCACAGCATCGCCAACTAGCGAACGCTGGCGGTATGCCGCGGGCGCTTGCGCCCGGCGATACCATCTGGGTTAGGGGCTAAGGAAGTTCAGAGAAGTGGCAAAAAGGTACCGTAGTATGTAATGAGGGCACACGTCGTTATTTGGTAAATAGTGATAACGGTCGACTGATCCAAAGACATATTGACCAAATTAGACGCCGGGCGCGAATGTCGGATGTCCCTTATCCTTCTAGTGTAGAATGTAACGAAGATATTGAAACCGGAAGCGGGAGCCAGGAGGGCGTATTGTGCTCAGAATTTGGGTCGGAGGGTAACGTTGTGAGCGATGGTGAGGAAGGCTCGTTCGGCACCCCTTCGAGTGACAAACAGGTGTCAGTACGTTCCTCACCAAACACTACACAGAGTGAATCGAGTCCAACGCAATCACCAGTCCTAAACTCACCATGCATTCCTGTGAATCGTCCCAAACGAAACCGTAAACCTGTTCAACGTTATGGGTTATAAGAATCAAATTAATACATCATCAATTAATGTGTTACCTATTAGTTAAAATATTAATGTGTTACCTATTAGTTAATATAAAAACTACCCTATTGTAATTTAAGTGGGGAGGTGTGATGTATGTCGGTAGATCGTACAATATAAGTATGTACATATATATATATATATATATATATATATATATATATATATATATATATATTTTCTATGTAGGTAGGCAGTTGCATCTGCCACGTTAGATAGCGATAAACGCCGATACGCAAGGACGTGTTTTATTTCTCACAAGGGAATTAATTTGAAATGCTTTGGAGCCATACAGTATACTCGTCAATGAACTAATTTAGTGTTGCTAAAATAGCAACAACAGTTACGGCTAACAATTTCTGTGGCACTTGTTTGATCAATTTCGGATTCATCATCATCATTCATCATTACAGCCCTTCACAAGTCCACTGCTGAACATAGGCCTCCCCCAAAGAATGCCACAAAGCACGGTCCTGAGCCACCTGCATCCATCGACTTCCTGCATGTCTTACCAGGTCGTCACTCCATCTCGTGGGGGGACGCCCTACACTTCGCCTACCGGTACGAGGCTGCCACTCGAGAACCTTTCTTCCCCATCGGTTGTCGGTTCTTCGAGCTATATGGCCGGCCCATTGCCACTTCAGCTTACTAATCCGTTGGGCTATGTCGGTTACTCTGGTTCTACTGCGGATATACTCATTCCTAAGTTTATCACGCAGAGAAACTCCGAGCATAGCCCTCTCCATAGCTCGCTGAGCGACCTTGAGCTTCCTCATCCGGCCAGCAGTGAAGGACCACGTCTCAGTTCCGTATGTCATCACTGGCAACACGCACTCGTTTTCAAGGTTTGAGGTATACCTGACGAGAAGATGTGCCGTAATTTCCCGAACGCTGCCCAACCGAGTTGAATCCGTCGATTGACCTCTCGGTCGAAGTTGGACTTACCTAGTCGGACTATTTGTCCCAGGTAAACATACTCGTCAACAACTTCGAGCTTAGTGTTCCCAACAACTACCGGCATAGGTGTGACATGGACATTAAACATGATCTTAGTTTTGTCCATGTTCATCTTAAGACCTATCCGTTGGGAAACACTATTGAGGTCATTGAGCATAGTGCTTAGGTCCTCCAGCGATTTTGCCATAAGGACTATATCGTCGGCAAATCGAAGGTGAGTGATTTACTCGCCATTGATGTTGATACCGTATCCTTTCCAGTCCAGAAGCTTGAAAACGTCTTCCAATGCAGCGGTGAAGAGTTTCGGGGATATGACGTCACCCTGTCTTACACCTCTCTGCAATTGGATAGGTTTCGTACTCTGGTTCTGTACTCGGATAGCAATCGTAGCCCTACTGTACAAGCACTTCAACACTTCGATATACCGATATAAAAACAGTAAAGTTTAAACGTGGTAGAGCCATGCTCCAGCTATATTATGGTTGTAGCACGAATGGGTTAGCTCGACTGGGGAAGGACCACGCTCTCACAGAATACCAACGTAAAATAGCAGCTTAACGCTGCTGTGTTTCGTATGGTGACTGTAGAGAACCGGAGACCCTTTTTACTGGAAACGAGGCATTCCATCTTAGTCCTCACGGGTGACAACGCATCTGCATTTTGATTCTTAATCGAAGATAGGTGTAGTTGTCTATGGGCCACAGCAACCACTTACCATCAGGTGGACTGTGTGCTCGTTTGTCACCCTAATCCTATAAAAAAAAAAAGTCAACTTGGCACCGCTGAAGGGACTGCAGCACCGCCCAAATTTCGACGGAAACAAAGGCTTTCTCATAGTCCGCATACGCCAGACATAGTGGCAAATTGTACTCTTCGGAATTCTGTACAATTTGCCGAAAGATTTGCGCGAGACGATTCGTAATGACTCTCGAAAACAGCACGTAGACGCGGCTCAGAAGGGAAATCGGTCTGTAGTTCTTCAAGAGAACGTTGTCACCTTTCTTGAAGAACAAGACCACCGCACTTCTGCTCCACGCCTCCGGTGTAATGCCACCATGGAGAACGGAATTAAAGAGCTTCTGAAGGACTTCAAGTACCGGTTTTCCACCCGCTTTCAGAAGCTCCGCTGTAATTCCATCCTCGCCTATGGCCTTACCGTTTTTAAGGTGCTCGAGAGCCATTCTAATCTCGCTCAGACTGACGTCCGGGATATCTTCGGAATAGTGTCGGATGAGACTCGCTCTTGGATCGTTACTCACACTTGCGTGTGGCTCCAACGATGACGTGTACAACTGCCCATAGTACCTCTCAATCTCACTCAAAATGTCAGGTGTCCCGGAAACGATGCTGCCACATTCTGTCTTCAGCTTTGACAGTTGGCTCTTTCTGGCAGACAGATCTCTGGCAAAGACTTTGGAGCCTTGGTTCCGCTCGATCGCTTCTTCAATACGAGCTGTATTGAAGTTGCGTAAGTCCCGCCGCATGCATTTGGAGATCTGTCTGTTCAGATGCCTGTATGCTGTCAAGTCTGTTGAAGAATGTAGCTTCATCTCCCGTCTAACAGCCATGAGATTAAGAGTGTGATCGGAGAGTTTTTGTGTTCTTCTGCGGCGGGTCTTGCAGAACTTAGCTCTGACCGCATGGACAGTTTCCACGAGCTTGTCATTCATATCGTCCACTTCATTGCAGTCTTCTAGGCACTGAAAACGGTTTTGTAACTCGAGCTGAAAGGTTTCGGGACTTTGGATTAGAGCACGAGGGGGACGGAGCGTTGACTTCATTAGACGAGACCTCTCCAACTTAACGTTTAGGTTCAGTGTGCCTCTAACCATTCGGTGATCGCTACCAGTTTTCACCCTCGCGATCACGGAGACATCACTGAACAGTTGTCGTCTGGTCGTCATAATGAAGTCAATCTCATTTTTTGTCGAACCGTCGGGGCTCGACCAGGTCCACTTCCTGTGGGGCCGCTTCTGGAAGAAAGAGTTCATCATAAAGAGTCCCTCTTTCTCTATGAAGTCGGCCAGCTGCTGGCCCCTTGGGTTCTGTTGCCCTTTTCCAAATTTCCCTACTTTCAGCTCACCGTTCTCTCTTGTGCCTAGTTTTGCATTAAAGTCTCCCATTAACACCGTATATTGGGTTTTGGATGAATGCATGGCTCTAGAGATATCCTCATACATTTCCTCCACCTCCTCATCGGGGTGTGCCGAGGTTGGTGCGTAAACCTGTATGACCTTCAGCGAATACCGTTTGGTGATTCTGAGTATAAGGTACGCAACCCCTTGTCGACACACTCCCGATCTTTACAACGTTGTTAACGAGAAACTTGTGGACGATAAATCCGACACCTCCTTGGGACAGATGGTCGCTCTCCCGGTGATAGAGCAAGTTGTCGGATTCGAGGATTACCGTGTCCTCCCCCTCTCTTCGGACTTCGGATAATTCTATAATATGCCAGCGCAACTTGTCTATCTCTTCTTCCAGCTCCACGATCTTCTCGTCAGTTCTCAGGGTGCGTGCGTTGTACGTTGCCAGGTCGAGTCGTCTAAGGTGGCAACCGAACCTCCACCGGAGATTCTTAGCACCCCCTGCCCCGCCGTTACCATGGTCGCCACCGTAGCCAGGAATAGCGGGGCCGCCGGGGACTGGGGGCCGTTTCTTTGTTACTGTCATTCATAGGAGGGTATTTGCCATAGTTGCCACGCTTGGCGAGCGGGTTGGCAACCGCAGTTTTTTTTTTATTGTTAGTTTGTTGTTATCAAGAAGATGCTGCTGCCCATCTCCTGCCTATTTCCCTTTGTCGCCTTTTACGACATCCACGGGAGGATATGGGGTAGTGGATATTCTTGACCGCCACTACACGGCAATTTCGGATTACTCGCGTTCAATACACGTGTTGCAGTTTGAAGTGAGCCCCTTACCAAGGAATTCAATCATCAAACATACGTGATATTACACGTGGTTTGTAATATCACGTACGTTCAATTCAAATGCACGCTATAGCTATATTATAGTTGTAGCACAAACGTGTCGGCTCGACGGCGATCTACGGAGACAGAAGTGTATAGTATCAGCGTATAGTGCGTGCAGAGAACTGAAGAATCTTTTAATTGTTAACGAAGCATTCCATCTTAGTCCTCTGGGTGACAACGAATCTTCATTTTGATTCTGATTGAGGATAAATGTAGATGTTTATGGGCCACAGTATCCACTTAACATCAGGTGCACTGTTTGCTCGTTCGTCACCCATATTCTATAAAAAATTGCTTTCTGTCGAATGATTAGTATATCACTTTAAGTAAATATTAAAATGTACCGATTTATATATCATAATCCTTATTCTTCTCCTTACATACACATAATATATATTTTTAATTAATTAAATACTCTATT